CCCAGCTCCTTGAAACCCAACTTGGCCGTCCCAACTCTTGTCCTCCCAAAACCTTTCCCGGCTCCTTGAAACCCAACTTGGCCGTCCTAACTCTTGTCCTCCTAAATTTATCCCAGCTCCTTGAAACCCAACTTGGCCGTCCCAACTCTTGACCTCCAAACTTTTCCTCCCAATTCCGTGAGACAACTCGCCCTTCCTAACTCCTCCGGGGTCCTCCCGGAGAACCCTTTCCTAATGCATTCCCGTCACTTCTCCTCTGTCCCTCCTAGCCCTCAAATAAGCGCCCGCCACTATCTCGTAACACTATTAGGGAGCCGGTGTAATTTACCCATGTACCCATTCCCGGTCAAGGGACTTTGGTCCAGTTGTTACTTTTGAAAGGGGCTGCTTGCAACCCCTAATGGCAGGACACCTTCCATATATAAAGATGAGCCCGTAGCCATATTCTCTCCCAAAAGATCAAGTCTTCAAGTTATCCCCGCACTAAAACTGGACAGACTTTATCATCATGAATCCGATTCTCATTGTCTTGTCTGTCTTTTCGTTGGCCATAGTTGCAAGGCCACCTTTCGCCAAAGAACGACTGGTAGCCCAACCACGCAGACTACACACAGCAGTTCCAGCTCGCCAGACTGGTCAAGCCTACGTAGCTACCTCTACTGAGCGATCCGAGGCAGGCTACTTCCCCATCGAGCAAAGACAGACGAATGTCCAAATTCCTTTCATGTTTTGCCCCGAAGTGTTTGGAAACCCACCTAAACTATGCACTCAATGTGGTGGAGACTCATTACGACATGGACAATGCAACAACCTGTTAATATCTGGCCGCCAACCACTCTCATGCCTCCAGTCAGGGATACGCTGTTATGGGTATTATTGTGCTTGCACCCATGATGGCGAGGATCATCAAACCCAAATTACATCGACATTTGTGATTGCTGGACAGACTGGAACAGTAATATTTGAGCCTGTGACACTCACAGAATATGCTGGCCTGCGAATGAGCACTACAGTCACATTGACAGACGTGGCAACCACGACAGATGGAGGGTCCAGTATGGAAACTGTTCTAGCCGTCATTTTTGCAGGAGGATTGGCATGGCTTGCCGTTTGTAAGTCCCTCAATATGGGCCATCTCTGACATGAAAATATTGACCAAGATTCAAGCTGAAAGCGGTGGCGCCGCAGCTATTGCTGCCTTTCACCCCCGATTCAACGTCCAGAAGATGCCAAACCGGACGATCCAAATTGCCCGTCAAATCCCGAAGAAGATTGCCAAAAATGTGGTGGACCAGACGAGGTTGGGCTTTGCTCTAGTGGTCCTGACGCGGGGTGTCCCTGCGAGGAAGTCCAGAACTGTCCCAATGAACCCCCTTTGTGCACAGATACCGAGTGTGGCGGCGATGTAAGTTTTCTTCAGACTTCAGCACCAATTTCTTTTCTTTCCATTTTCATTGTTAGGCTCGTTTCTGCTTCCATACTTTTACTGAGGGTCTCGCAGAATGGCAACTCCCAGTGCTCCGCATCGGGTGCCATCAATGGCTGCCTCTGCTGTCCAGCCGACCCCCCTGATTGCACCGACAGCAATTGCTTGGGTACCAACGAACAAGAATGTACAGCACTAAAGTGGGATAAATGTGGTTGCACGGTTTATGCTAGCGACGGCCTGGCAGATATTGGTGATGGCATAAGTACCGCATCAACTGCTTCATCCTCCATCTCATCAGTTGCCGCATATGTCTTTACCACGATATGGATGGCCGATTACTCAAGCATCATCGGTTGGCCCGTAGCAACAACAGATTGCTCATTCGTTACCACGACTTGGACTTCAATTGCCAGTGGCGTCGACATCCCTCCGATCGACTGCTGGTGCTCGTGCGGGCCATCGATGGAACCGGTGACCTGGGGAACTTCTAAGTCATCGACGTCGTCATGGTGCCAAAATGCTCCGACCGGCTGGTCGACAATTTCTGGAACTTTTTGTACCGGTTTGCCAACATCATTACCTGTACCAGCCCCGACTGTGACTACACATCCTCTACCTACAACGGCACCCCCAAAAACAACAACTGCTACGCCTGCGTGTGACCCTTACTGGTAAGCAACTTTCCTGGTTCAGAACTTCCTCGTTTCTTAAGTTTGAGCCGCTCCTGGAGCCCGTGAGCTTCTAATATATCCCTTAATTCACCGTTACAGGGACTTATTTCATGTCCTTGAACCACTATAAAGAAAGAAAATGCTAATATCAAGTGCTGCAGGTGTGGTGCTCCATTTTGTGGTCCATGTCCGTAGTTTGTTAGCGTTCCCTGAATCCCATTCATCCTGCATCTATTTAATCCATCCATCCAGCTTATATATCCTCATTATATATCAGATCCATCTACGTTTTTTTCTCTTCTTAAGGTTTTGGCATCTAGGAGAGGGCTTGGATGAGTAAGGGTGTTGTTGGATAGTATTTTATTAGTTAAAGACATTGATTCTAAGAAACGATTTCCACAAAAGTTGACCGTGCACGTGAATAAAGCCCTTAATTTGTACTTCATATAACAGCGCTTAACTGTAAACTCGTAGCCTTTGGTCCAACTAAAAGGATGCAAGAACATCTATTTGAGCATCTCTCGTGACGCGAAATTGCTGTTGGTCAGATCCCAACGTTGGCAACACCATAGCACCAGTGCGACGTCTCTCCTGCTCCTGCACAGACTGAGATAGGCGAGTAGATCCGTCAGGCCTCGCCGTGACTGGCCGGGTCTGTGTCATTGAATCGATATCCAAGAGACCATCATCGTTGACCTCGATCAGGTCCTCCTCGACCTCTCCTTCGGCGAGAACAGGGATATCTTCGACTCTAAATTCCCTGTGAAATCTCTCCTTCCGATCATCAGCTGTGTCGCAGGCACATCCTCCCAGCTCATCAGATGCACACTGTCTCGTGCCAGCCGGAGCACGACAGTCAAGATTTTCACACCACACATAGATCGGAAGTGGGCAGCAGCGACAGCCCGTGATTGTAACGTCTCTGCCATTCATATGGAATGCTGTTGTAGCCTCGCATTGAAACTGCATAGGGCAGATGTATCTGGGCCCTTGACAGTTAGGATCAGAGCATACTGGCTTTGGTGACGTTGGGCATTGACCAATCTGGTGGAGATGGATTGGAGAATTGTTGGTGTTGATCTGAGATAGTGATAGTGATTGCAGCTGTTCTTCGATGGCTGGTGGTGAGACTGTGCCGCGAGCATCGTCAGATTGTATGGAGGCTGATGAGAATAGAAGAATTGAGAGGATGGTGGTCAAGAAACTGCGGGTTAAAGCGACCATACTGAAGAGGGTTCGGGCGATCTCATAAAATCGTAGATGCTTGAGGATATTGCGATGAGATTTCATAGACAACCAACGTCCCCAAGGCTGTCGTCAGAAGATAAGGTAGGCTGACTAAGGTAAGATAAGCGGTGCGCCCCGCAGCGAGATTTAAGCGAGCCTTGAGGTTAAAAGAAACCTACGTCCTTGTATATTCTGCAAGTCTTCTCAACCTTTTCTGATCAAATCAAGTGGTGCCCGAGGCACAAAGATCTAAAAGAACCGAAGCTATAGCCATATCCTGAAACGGTAGCCTGGCATTGAAGTTCGACTGAAGAAGGATATCCCTACACTAAGATCCACTAATCTAATAACGCCTTCTATACACGTAGGCTACGCAGAAACCCATAGGTCCCTACTAAATAGGTTAGGTACCTACCCTATAAGGTAGGTTATAGTAAATAAGACCTAACCTATAGGTCCCTAAATAAATCTACGACCTAACCTATAAGGTAGACCTAACCTATAGGTATAGTATATCCTAAGGCACTAAAGTACCTTTATACTTACGTAATACCTAAGGTTATAATCATTAATTAGTATAAGGATTAGTATAAAGATTAGTATAAAGATTAGTATAAAGATTAGTATAAAGATTAGTATAAAGATTAGTATAAAGATTAGTATAAAGATTAGTATAAAGATTAGTATAGTTATCTTAAGTTTAAACGATTATAAAATAAATAAATTAAAATAGTTTTATATATATTTATTTTAGTACTTAGGCTCTACTATCCTTAAGTCTTTACCTACTTTGTTATACGATCTAAAATAAATCTTTTATCTTATAATTTCTATACTTGTTTCCTTAGTGTATTAATACTCTTAAGAGTCTCTAGCTTAGATCCTAGAGGTAGAGTTAGTAAAACTAACTTTACGCTATTATAATCTCTATTAACTACTAGCTTAAAAATGTCCTTATCCTTAAGGTCTTCTAGTAGATCGTAGATTAACAGATCTTATATAGTATTCCTTTTCTTATACTTTACTATTTGTATACTACGTATTTTATATATAGATATAAAGAGTACTTAAGTATTATCTTAAGCTATAGAACAAGCCTATAAGAGCCTCTTATATATAATAGTATTAAGGCGTCTCTATATCTATAGTGTTTATACTTAATAGCCTGGCCGGTTTAGTTCTCTTTCTTTATTACTAATATAGTAATCTACTACTTACGTATCGACTTCTTTTAGACGTAAGTTAATAAATGTTTTCTACTCCTTTAGCTTAGCTTCTATCTCTTCTTTAGTTATACTATTAATATTAATAGTATTAGAAAGTATCCTTTTAAGCTTATTACCTTACTCTTTCTAAAGTTAAGAGAAAAAAACTAATATAAGAGTATAGATAGCTAGAGGTTTAAGTTAGTTATAACGATAGCTATATATATTATATAAAAAATTAAAGAAGTACTTAATACTAACGCTTATAAGAGGAATATAGAGTAAGTCTCTAGCTATTACTATAAGGCTAGAGAGACAAGTCTTAAGCTACTACTAAACTAAGAGGAGTATATAGTTATTAGGTTCTAGTTTTAAGTTAGTAATTAGTATAAAGATTAGTATAAAATAACTTACTTATCCTAAGCTATATATCTAC